TGTGTTTACGTGGTATTTTTGAATAAATTCTACAAATGTGTAAAACAAACCTGTGCTAACCTTTATCATATCGTTTATAATAAAAATGTTTTTCTGATAGTATTTTCTGTAAAAAACAGCTCTTCCTCCTATCTTGATTTTACTATTATACCAAATGGGAACTTTCAATATGTTTTCCTGAAGAATTTTATCATAATATTTTGTATTTAGTGTGTACCAAGATCTGAGCACATCACTCCAGAATTTATTTTTACACTTATTTACACATATCTGAATATATTCAGAACCACAATTTTTAACGTTTTAACAAACTTGGTAGTCCTTCATCCCAGCATGCTACAGGCCCAATTTCAATACCCTGGGCCTTTTGGTTATGTAGGTGACGTCGTTTGAAGATTTTAACATATTTGACCCCTGTGACTTTGAAAGTGGGTCAAGGTCATTCATTTGAACAAACATAGCAGCCATTCATCCCAGTATGCCACTGGCCTAATATTAGTACTATGTGCCTTTTGGTTATTGAGAAGTCATTTGAAGATTTTATGTCATTTGACCCATGTGACCTCAAAAGAAGGTCAAGGTCATTCATTTGAACAAACTTGGTAGCCCTTCAGCCCAGCATGCTATAGGCCCAATATCAGTGGCCCTGTGCCTTATGGTTATTGAGGAGAAGTCGTTTGAACATTTTAAGACATCTGACAGCAATGACCTTGAAAGTGGGTCAAGGTCATTCATTTGAACAAACTTGGTAGCCCTTCATCCCAGCATGCTACTGGCCAAATATCATCACCCTAGGCCTTTTGGTTATAAAGAAGAAGTCGTTTAAAGTAAAATATTGACGCCGGACGCCGCACCACGGCATAAGCTCACTTAGCCCTTCGGGCCAGGTGAGCTAATAAAGAACACCCATTAATTTCAATTGGCGCATTAATTAGTTAGCCCAATATTTTAAGTGCTCAAAATGTACACTTACAGCACATTCCAGTGAGCTACAACATTTACAAAAGTAAAACCAAACTCATCAAATAATATAATTATGATCACATTTATTCTTGATTACAATAACTTATAACCCATTCTACATATATTTCTATACATGTATAATAATACAACGCCATGCACCCTGCTCTTTTCCTCTACAGAACTCCTACCTTCTCAATACTACCGAACTACACAACTTACTGAGGGTGAATTCAGCACAATAATATTTAAACAATTGTATTAATATTTCAACGAAATTGAAGAAACAAAAATGCCTGGAGAGCATTTTTTTTTTTTTAAATGCACAACTTATTTACGTTTTTGAAAAACAATTTAGATAATTGATATGATTTACTTTTGTTCAGAAAGATTGAATGAAAGCCACAAGGAGCTGCTCTTGTTCATATTTTGTACATGCCCACATCAAATGGGATGCGTCGATCTCTCTAGAACTCTGGCTCGTTAAAACATTGTTGTGAACCAACTGGCAACGTCAATTCTCAATACTAAGCCAGTACAAAACTATTCTGTATTTTAATCATTTTATTTGTGAAAAATGTAGTGTAACCTTATCTAATGGCAAGGGTTTCAATCTAATTTCAATAACAGAAATATTGATAAACTAATTGGTTTATAATATGCTCTTTTTCTTATTTAAATTTAAATCGTATTTGTTCATTGTTGCCCACCTTTTCAATGGCGAACATTAAATTGGGTATAGATGGTTAAAGAATATAAGCTGTAAGAAAAAGTATACGTGGTATACAAAATCTTCTGAATTTCATGACTCTAAATTTATTTTCACCAGGTAAGTATAAAACTGTTACACTCGTTCAAATGAAGCACTTGAATAAAAAGAAAAGAAAAATCATGTAAATGAATCGATGCATATCACAATTAGTTTTAAACAGACATATTAGTTGATGACAACAAGTGTTGTTAAAACAACAAAATGTTCGCAGCAACAACATGTGTCCATGACAACAACGGTTGTTCAAGATTCACAGCAACAACAGTTGTAGCAACCGGACAAAAGAAGCTCGCCAAGGAATGTGGAACATGGTACTGTGCTAGTGTCGATATACAATAAATTATATACAATGTACAAAATGTTCATTAATACCAATTAACATACTTTAATCATAATCTATATGATTTTCAACCACAATTACATAAAATTTCTGACATTCAGTTTCAACAACTATCCTTTCTAATACAACAATGATTGACTAGTAATCAGCATCAGGTAAATTTCTCTTCTAGCGATCTGTACACAGGGGAGGTAGCTCTCCTATCAATACACAAGGGAGATAACTCTATCTTTTAAAAAATCCAATTCAAGAAGTGTACACTAGGTTGATAAATGGTATTTGTTCCTTTTAAAAAAAATATGTCATATTAAATTTCACTTGAACATTAAAGGTATTAGTCCATAGGCTTTTTTTTTGTATTCAAAATTTAGTCCTCAAGCTGAAAAATTGTCATGTCTGTTTTATATTCAATACCACTAGCACAGGAGAGCTGTCATGACAGAATAACAGCCACAGTTCAATTTTAGTGGGTTTCACAACATACCTAATGATAAATAGACAATTTTTGTGTGTTGTTTTTTTATGTTTCAGGAGTTGTATATGCAAATATCCATGCACAATGGACATTCTATTATGGTCTGCAGGCGAAAACCAGACAACATTTATATATCACAATTGTTAACCCTTTCCCTGCTGTAGACCATGATGGACTCATCCATATCAACGGATGGAAGAATCTACTAAAGTTACATAGGGGTGAAACGTCTAGGAAATCAAAGAGAAAAAATTCTGGGCAAACTTATATGCAATTGTGTCCCCTATACCAAAATTGGATGGTTGACTTCACAAGAACAGAACCGTTTTAATCATACATGTATTTCTTTCAAAATGGAAAAAAAAAAAAAAAAATATATGCTTTACCCTGTAATGAAATTACAAATGACATGTGATAATGATAAACCAGCCATCAACAAGACAAGCATCACAGAAACAGTCATCTCTTCCATTGATAATAGATTAGTAGAAGTCACAGGCATTTCTGACTTAAGGGTACATGCTACCTTCCATTTTAACTTTCCTTTAATTGGTTCAAATTAGTGTTAATAACTGTTTTTCAAAAAATTGCTTTTAATATTGATAACTGTTCTCTGGAATAGCATGCATGTTACCAATACTTTATACCAAGACATTTTCGCTGCAGTTTTATTTTCGCCTTTTTTCGCTCTCCATAATGATGGCAAATTTGTCATAACAGTGACCATTGGTAAGCAATGTAATGTACATAGAAATTACATGAGAAGGGCGAATACAATACTGAGCGAAAATACACTTTACAGCCAAAGGGCAAACATTTCCCAGTATATAGTATCGCTGTCTGCTGTGTACGAATGTAACTTACAAGCTGCTTAATATGAAATTACTTGGAAAAGGAGACATTGTTGGCAGCAAGGTAGCATATACCCTTAATTCAATGTTAGTGGATTTCTCTGTCTCAGATCCTGAAATAGAATGAATGAAGCACAATCATCGTTATTCTATGAATATGTTGGAACACAAAAAGAAGGCTTTTGATACTTACTGACCGGTTCTGTTCAAATGACTACATAAAATTTCTCTAATAATTTCTGACCAAAATTCTTTACAAAACATGATGGATTTCTTTACCTTTAACTTATCACATAATTATGTGAATACAAAAATACCAAAAAACCTGATCAAGGTTCATTTTATGAACATCAATCACAAATGGCTAACAACTATACAGCTTACACGAAACCTTCATCGTATCTTTCATTAACACTGTGAAAACCATCACGGTATGGTGTCGAACTAAACTAGCACTCTCTTTTTTTATCTTCAACAAAGAAGAGATCCACTCTGTTCATCATTTTCATTACTTGGAGTTGCTCGCCCACTTACGATAGAAAGAGCGTTCCATTTTTTCACAAAATCGTTTTGGCCCATCTTTGATGATTTGGCCCCTGTCCTCTTGACAATTTAGCAGGAGCTTCACCGCTGCACCACAGGTAATGAATAATTACTAGTTTTGCAATTCTAGAATGTTCACACTCCCTAAAATGGCTGCAACCTAAAATGCCTTTACAAGATTGTAGAAGAAATTACAAGAATTTAGAAAAAGAAGAAAAATGAATGCCAATACACAGTAAAAAAAAATGGTGGGTCATTCTACCTTAACAATATTTGCAGATTTTCAAACATGGGACACTCCACCTTAAACTTCAATATATATTCCGCTTTTCATTATAATCTTGAAATTTGTGTTCAGCTGTCACTCTCCTTATCAGTCATTAAACAACGTCTTGGTCTTGGTTTGCGAGACATGTGTTTTCTACATTCTTCGTGAAAGAATCTGGATTTGACATTTTTCAGAACACACTGAATAATTCTGTCATCGACCAAACTCCTAATAATTCCACTTCTGTTTAACGCCTTGGTCAACCACATCACATACAGAACTTATGAACTGACATGTAGAAATTGGAAGAAAATATTGGCATCGTGTACAATAAAAAACTTGAAATAATAACAGTATTTTTGATCTACAATGACACATATGTATAATCTTTGAAAGTTTAGTCCTCTAGATTGCGGAATGCCTGTTGCATTTCTTCGTGGAGATCATCATAGTCCGACTTGATTTTCTTTTCGCCATCTTTCACTGGGTCCTGTAAAAAAAGTTAAAACTGACTGACTGATTGCAATAAATAATGTGATACATTCTGGAGTCTTTTGAAGGATTTTAAAGAATGATAATAATTGAAATGACCATTCAAGGAATCAAAAAACTTGGGCAGTGCATTAGTTACGAGCCAGACAATTTCAAGTACAGAAATCCTTTCCCTGTTAACTAATTCACGCTACTGAGCAGTGTTTTTGTTTATCTAAATTTTACAACAGCTTGTTCCTTTATGAATTGGAAAAAATACAGCATTTTTTTTAAAGAAAATTATCAAGATATTCCTGATTTTTTTTTATCCTTTTCGGAAAATTATCCTCAATTTTGATAGAAGCAGCTGTAAAACAAGGCAAAAAAAAATAACTGTTGAGACAAGTGATTGAATAAATCTTAAATTGGAAAACTTACCTTGAACTTCATGCTGCTCAGTTTGTACAGGACATCATTCAATTGTTCACGAATGATCCCCCATGTGATTTTATTTTCACTCTGTGCTGTAGTTTCAACTGCATGCCGTGCCATATCATAGAAAGCCATGATGTTTCTCAGCATACCAACTGTCTTGTAAAATGGACAGAATCTGTAAAAGCAAAGAAAATCAATGAACTATGTTTTGAGCTAACTGAGGACCAGCATGTTTTATAATTGGAACAACCGATTTAATTTCATGTAAATTTTCATAATGTGTTTCATGTTTAAACCTCGAGGACCTGTTAATGTTATTGTAGGCTTTGATAGTTTTCGCTAAGGCTCACCAGAAAACAACAATGCTAGTGAATGGATAGAACACATCAATGTAAGGATTTTACAAGAGAAGTCATAATCAAAATATTCAATTTATTTTTCCATGTGAAGTCACATAAGAGTTCCCATTTCATATTAACTCATGCACCCCTGAAGACACATTTGAACTCTACTTATTCAAAGGTAAGAATAGTTTATTATAAAATTTCAGGGGTAAATGAGTTCGGTAACTTTATGTAACAAGCTTCCCAGTTTTCAATGAAGTCAGATGGAATAGGAATTACTTTAATATTCTTTTATTATATGTTTAACAAAAACTAATGCACCTCCACATTTTGTGAATATTTAGAATGGAAACACCGTAAGTTACACCTCTTGTTTCTTTCATCATAACATGTTGGATGTATGATGAAATGTTGAAACATGACGAGTCAAACACAACTTGCCTGTCGTAAGCTGTGTATCCATTCTGTTGTAAGAAGTCATCCTTCAGCAGTTTGGCCACTTCCATTGTAATCTTGTCCGATTCAGCCAATGACCCCTGCAGGAAAATTATCAAATCAATATTTTCTAAGGGAAGACAATTATTGGGACAAAGTCATACGTCGTCAACGTTCTCTCGGGGAAGAAAATGAAGTCCTGACACAAATATTCTCTTACGGGAAACAAGAGGACCAAATCAACTGATATCAATGATCTTTTAGGGGAGACAAGTATAAGGCCAAAGTCATGACTTTAGCGATCTCTTATGGGAGACCATTGAATGAGACAAAGTTATGACATTAGCGATCTCAAGTTAGGGGAGACAAGAGGACAAAATCATAACATCAACAATATTTCAATGATATAAATGATCTCTCAGAATTATATGTCTCATCAATGATCTTATAGGGGGGGG